ATAAAATATAGGGAAAAAAAAAGCAATATGGGAGCTCTGGTGGCCTAGTGGCAAGGAGCTGCAACTACAATCCCAGAGGCACACGGTTCGAATCCACCAGATGCTCTGCCGGGAAAAGGAGGAACAATCTCCTGCTGTACCAGTCAGATCTGATTTGACGGTACACTCACACAAAAATTAAAAAAAAAAAATTAAAAGCAATAATATTCCAAGTAGAGGTTCTAATAGTGGCACAAATCAAGTTATAGGGGAAGGTAGTTCTTAAAATAAAAGGCTTATTGACTGACTAGTACTTTGTCTATTATAGTATAAAGGTTAGAAACCACAAGATGTAGAGGCTCAATTATGTCAGTTATGGTTATTAAGTCCTGGAGCAAATTCCATCTACACTGGGTTGTTTTACAGCTCAGCAGTCCACATGCAAGGCAGAGGTGAAGTAAGGAACTGCTTATGAGGTTTTCCATCAAATCCAACAGCTAAGAAATAGTGAGAAGAGTTGTGACCTCAGAAGGCTTTTAGGACCAAATAGTAGGCTCTTGTGTCCAGGAGAAAATGAATATACTTACCAGTAATGGTAATGCTCACCCACAGCTCTTCTGGGAGGAGCTAAATCGTTTAAGCGTCCTCCTTTGTTTCCAGCTGGGAGCTGGGGCCTGTCAGTCCTGTCAGCCACGAGGACCTGATGTGAGCTGCCCTTGGCCAAGTGTCCTTCAAATCCACACTTAAAGCAAGTGAGTGGGAGCCTCCTCTCTACTCCCTTGCCTATCTGTGGCTCTCGTCTGTGACACTGTCTACTGAAGTGGCCCAGGTTTCCACAGTGGAGGCAATTCTGACCTCCTTTATTATCTGTGGGTGGCCTCACTTCTAAAGATTATTTTGGTTGGACTTCTTAAAAGATAGACTTGTTTGTTCATTTGGCAGTCCATAGTATATTCATGTTTGGGTTTGTTTGTTTTTTGCCAAAAACATAATTCAAATTCAGTATTCAGATTTCAAATATGAGTTGCATCAGGTATGTTTCAAGGAGGAACTGTTCCTTGGAAAGGGACATCATGCTTGAGGGTGGATGGACGGAGGAAGAGAGGGAGACCATCGATGAGATGGATTGATACAATGACTGGGGTAATGAAGGTGAGTGTGTCAGAGACAGTGAAGTTGGCACAGGATACAGCAGGTTTCAGGGCTGTTGTACTTAGGGTCATTATGGCCGCAAGTGACTCAATGGCACATGACAACAACAGCTTCCAAAATACAATGATAGAAAAAGCATGAGGTGGATATTTCTATTACTAATGAAAGCAATTAGAAAAATAACCGGAACCTTGCAAGTCTAAAACCCAGCAGAATCAATTACATTAGCTCTTAAGGGTTGAAAAGAATCCTGTGTTTTTTGAGACCATCTGTGGCATTGCCCTATTCTCCAGGCTCTGGGTACTGTCCACGCTCCTTGGATTCTGAGTTAGAAGCCCCTCAGTACTGGGCTTCAACTCCACCTTCCAGGCTGATGTTCATAAAGATATACTTTTTTCAAGGCACGCTAAGCTTTTACTATTTAGAAACCTCTTACAGTCATTGGCATCAAGTTAGAACAGACTCAGAGCTGAGCCCTGGAGCTTCTAAGATCTCAGGCACTGCACAGCAGTTTGGTAGGGTTTCAGAGGCTGTCTCATTGGAAGAGATTGCCCGTCTTTCTCCACATGGAGCAGATGGTGGATTTGAACTGCCTGTATTTAGGTTGGCAGCACAACTCCCTACCTACTAGGCCCCCAGAACTCCCTTTTTAAATAATTGTTATGTGCCATCGAGTTGGAACTAATTCATAGCTGACCCTCCAGCAAGTTTTCAGAGGCAGTAAAATCACATGGGAGGAGATGGCCCTTCTCTTTCCTGCAGAGCAGCTGGTGGATTCGAACTGTGTGCCTTTGCATTGGCCGCATGTCTCCTTCCTCACTAAGCCACCAGAGCTCCCTTTTGCTATTAGACCCCTTAAAACTCTTTCCGTTTCACTTGTTACTCAGTTCTATAACCGTTTCTACATTGTCATTATTTGTTAGAGTAATACCCCCACTTCTGGGTTGCAAATTCCATCTTAGTTATCTCATGCTGCTATAAAAGAAATACCAACAGTGAGTGTCCTTAAACGGACATTTATTTTCTCACAATTTAGGAGGCTAGCCTGAACCATTCAGGGCTCCATCTCAAGGGGAAGGCTTTCTCTTTGTTGGCTCTGGGGAATGCTCCTGTCTCTTGGAGCTTCTGCTCTTGGACAATCTGTATACACGGCATCTCTCATGCTCTGTCTCTGTTTTTTGTTTAAATTTTAATCAAAGTTTATAGAGACTTAGGGTTTCCATTCATTCATTGTTGCACTTTTCTCCCTGCCCACCCCCACCCCCTCAGTTTGCTCTTCTCTTTGAAAAGTAAAAGAAAAATTCTTTCATTGTTATACAATCCCTCCCACAAAGTCCACTCCATTGTGCAGCTTTCATTCTGGACTCCTGTCATGACAGTAATACCTAATCATATATCCTTTTTAAACAGTTCTCTCCCTCATCTGTTTCAAGGCAGTATACATTATTTATCCCCTCTTTCTCAGTCTTTCCTCAACCCTGATGTTAGTCTCGTTTTACAACAGTGGCCCTATGCAATATTTGTCCATTTGTGACTGAGATATTTCACTCAGCATAATGTCCTCCAAGGTCACCCTTGGATTTCATGAGCTCCTTGTTTTTCCAATGGAGCATAATATTCCACTGTGTGAATATTCCAGAGCTTCTGTTCCATTCATTTGTTGATGGCCTTGGGTTGTTGAGTCTCTGTTTCTTTTATGGGCTTGTTTTCAATCTCAACAGAGAGCACCTTGAGACACCCTATATCAACCCTGCAAAATTAACACCACACAAACAGCCTATCTCCAAACAAGCATAGAGATTATGATTTACACCCCATGTTTTGGGAGACATAATTCAATCTGTAATGTTAGTAGGTGCCATTGATGTGGCTCCAACTCATAATGACCCTATACAACAAAGAAATCTGCCTCACCGTGTGCCACTGTCACAATGTCTGCTATGTTTAAGCCCATTGTTGCAATCATCATGTCAGTCCATCTCAGTGAGGGTCTTCTGCTCCTTCCCTAACCCTCTCATTTTCCAAGGATGATATACTTGTCCAAGGATAGGCTCCTCCTGAGAAGAAGCCCAGAGTATGTGAGACATGTGTCCCTATCCTTGCTTCTAAGAAGCTCTCTAGTTTCATTTCTTCCAAGACAAAGTCAAAGTATCAGTTCTCCAGTCTTTCTTTCACAATGTTCAACTTTCACAAGAGTATGAAGCAATTAAAACTACCATGGCCTAAAGCAAGTGTACCTTAGTCCTTAAAGCGATATCCTTGCTCTTTATCACTTTAAAGATAACTTAGGCAGCAGCTTTGTCCAGTAAGTATATTATCTGATTTCTTGGCTGTTGCTTCCATAGATACTGGTTATGGATGCAAGTAAAATAACATAATTGACAATATCAGTCGTTTTTCCATTTATCATGATGTTGCTTATTTGTCCAGTTATGAGGATTTTTGTTCTCACTATGTGAGGTATAGTTCATGTGAAGGCTGTAATCTTTGACCTTCTTCAGTAAGTATTTCAAATTCCTACACTTTCAGCATGCAGGATTGTCTAATTTGCATTTTGCAGGGTTTTCCTTCATATAGTCTAATTTCTCGGATTATTTGTTCAGCAAACAGATTGGATGTTGTTTCTGTTATGTGCTATGACTGTGACTCATATTGACCCTATGAACAGCAGATCAGAACATTGGCCAATCTTGTGAATTCCTCACCATCTTACACACTTGAGCTTATAATGAAAGGATATAACCCTAACAGACACACACATCTTCTCTGATTTTAAACCATGCAGTATCCCCTCGTTCTTTTAAACCATGCAGTATCCCCTCGTTCTGTTCCAAGAATTATTTCTTGGTCCATGTACAGATTCCACCTGAGCACAATTTTGTGTTTGGAAGATTCCTATTCTTTGTGATGTTATCCATAATTAATTATGACTTACACAGCCACAAGCCTTTGCGTAGTCAATAAAATCCATAATCTCTTAACAATATTAATTTCTAATAATATTTCTTTTTCAAAGGTCTATATAGGTTGTAATTTTACCAAGGATTCTAATCACAGTTCTTTTTTAAAGCTCTGTGCTAATAGTAATTTTACCAAGGACCTGCAGCCCTTCCCAGTTATCATAATTATCGTCTGGATCATCTAACAAATAGTAACCTGTCGTCGCCACTGCCTGCCTGCTTGCTTTTCAGTGTTCCTTAGCTCCCCAGCATCATCTGGGGGTCTGTCTCCTCACCCACTGGCTGGTGCTGAGCACTGCTTTGCTTGGTGATGGTGATAAAATCTGTCCAACACTTTTTATGTCTTTTTATTCTGCAGCAGAAGTATTGGGAAGCCCTAAACTCAGAGCAGGTATGAACAATTGAGCATTCTCTCTATTACAGGAGAGACATTCTGTGGCTTGGTGTCAGCTACTGTTTGGTGGTGGTGGTGGTGGTGGTGGGGTGTTTGGTTTTTGTTTGTTTGTTCAGTTTTAATCTTTAACTGTGACTTATTCAAGTCCTGGAGAAGCAACAGGGTCCTTTGGAGATGACTGGGCTGTCTTGCGTTTTAAATACTGGTTTCATATTACATGCCCACCTCTTTGTTTAGAATTTCATTTTGTTGTTGTTGTTAAGAATACACATAGTAGAATATACACCTATTCAACAGTTTCTACATGTGTAATTCAGTGACACTGAGTATAATCTTCAAGTTGTACAACCTATCTCACCTTTATTTTTTTTAGTTGTTCTCCCCTCATTTACATAAATTCATTTCCCCTGTTTTTCATCTAAGTTTTCAAATTGCTGTTGTCAAGTTGACACTGTATAAAGAGATTTGGAAAGAGTACAATACTCACGCTAGACATTCCACTTAATCTAAACCATTGTTTTGCCTTAAGAGAATGTCACCAGCTATTTTGGGTTTAAGGTTCATCCAACCTCATGACTTCAGAAAAACTGTAAGCCATGAGAGTTTTAAATTGTGGTACACATTCCCCCATTTTGGACAGGATTCTTCTATAGAATCTTTGATCAGGATATCAATTAATGGTAGCTGGATACCATACAGTCTTTCTGGTCTCTTGGCAAAGGAGGCAGTTGTTCCTGGAGGCAATTAGCCACACATTCCATTTCTTCCTTTTTTTTATTCCTCTTAATCACCTTCAGGATAGGGTTACACAGACAGTGAATATAATTGTTGTCAATAAATTATACACCTCTAAAAAGTAGAATTGACAAAAATTACGTTATAAATATATTTACAATGACAACAGCAGGGCATCTGCTAAAACTGATTATATGCAGTCAAATACTCCATGGGATTTGATTGGGGTCATGGGACATCCCAGGCAATTGGCCCAGTTAGAAACATGTGCTTCTGTTCCATCGCCTGGTTCACTGCACAAGGCCTGAAATCTTCAAAGTGTACAAGCAGCCGCCCAGGCTGCAGCATTAGTCTTTATTTGCCTGGAGCAACAGAGGAAGGATAGTCAGTTCTTGGTTTTCTTAGACTCTTGCTCCCACCCTGTATGATGGCTGGACCTATGCCAAAAGCCCTTTAAGGGGGGAAAGGTTTAAAAGTGAAATGCACGCCTGAGGCTCAGTGATATTTTCAGGACTCACAAGTCAGAGATCTTCCTGCTTTGGGAGTATTCAGATAACCCAGGTTACCAAATAGCAACTGAGGGAAGATACTTAATCCAATGAAGAGACATGGTTTGGAATAAAAGTCTATGAACAAGCTGAGTAACATCAGCTTCGTCGTGGTAGGAGCTGCAGTTGTTGATGTCGAAGTTCCCACACACAGTTGGCCTTGTCTCCAGGCCACCCTTGCCACCAAGAGACAGATGAGCATATGTTGTCACCCCCTGGACTTCTCATCTCCCCAGATTGTTTTAAGTCAAAGGTAGAGCGTATTTTCTCCAGTTGTCTTTGTACAGTTTGGAGATTTTGGATTCCACCAATGTTTTTAGTGACTTAATGACATTTTAAAACACATTATTCTGGGGATTCAGAACAAAGTGATTTAGGATGTTTTAGGAAGCTTAAATCACTTCCGATGGTTGATCTGATTAAGAAGGCATTTTGTTTGCAGGCAGCTGGAATGATTACTACTGGAAGGTTTGAGGAGCCAGAGGCATCGAAGAATCACACTGATCATAAGGATGACACGGAGCCAGGCTGTGTTTTGTTCTATTTCACATGAGGTTGTCATGAGTCAGAGCTGACTCCATGGTAACGACAACAACAACAATAACAATGAGAAGGACTCATTCATGAGGCCTGTGCAAATGCCAAGCCTGAGTTCCTACCCACAGAGAGGAGCCAGGGCGGGCTCCCGACATCAGCCTTTCTGATGAGCAGCCTGGGCTTTTCTGGTTTGGTTGATTCAGTAAATATAACTCATAGCTGACACCCCCAACAGGTTTTCAGAGGCTGTAAATCTTATGGGACGAGATTGTCCATTTTCCTCCCTCAGAATAGCTGGTGAATTCAAACCTGCCTTGGGTTTGGCAGTGCAACTCTTTGCCCACTAGGCTACCAGAGCTCTATTGGTTTGGCTAAGTCAGAGCACTCTTAGCACTGTGATCTAGAATTTGGGAACCTCTGCTTGGGAGCAGCATTCATCAAAAAGCACCTCCTTGGAGAATAAAACCAACCCCAGCTTTACCTTTATTGGAAAAATTGAACCACATAGGTTGAGGGCTAGTGTTTTCACTTGGGATCTTTAATGATGTCAGGAAGGAATTTGGTGAGAGGGGTCCAGCAAAGTCTGCGACTACAAACGAATGGAAGTTCCCATCAGCTTCGGCTGGCAGCTGGCCATCAAGGGTGGATGAACTGCTGAAAGGTCTGCTTAGTTGCTGACCTGCAAGGCCACAGGGAGGGGTGCTCTTTTAAACATGATAATTGGTTTTTTGTTGTTTTTTAACAGCAAAGACAGAGAAGGGACAGACCTTCCTAACAAAAGGGCATAATGGAGGAGGCCTATACATGATAGACTTTTAATTTATTAAATTGTAGAACTCTGTAAATTTACCAGCAAATCACTAATTGGGTTACGTTTTGTGTTCACAATCTGTGTTTTTTAACTGGCATGGTGTGGCCATGATCAGTCCACTGGTTTTGAAGACCTCGTCTGAGACCTCTAAGGACTAGACTGGTTCAACATTAGCTTGGGCAGCTGGTGAAGCATGTCTTAGAGCATATGCCCAAGCCTGTTATTTCACTAAGCAGATCATTTTGCTGTAGTGTAGGTTGGCATGCTACACAGTATTTGCATACTGTTGCCTGGATCTCTTAATATTGTCAGACTTGACCTTATGACTCAGAACCATCCGTCTCAGACACTAAAAAATGGAAGAGATTTATTGCCTAGTCAACCCATTGCCGCATCTTATACATGGGGAAACTCAGAGAAACAAGAGTTTGCACTGCACTGTGAGTTATGGCAGAAGGAGGATTTGAGCCCACTACCCTCTTGCCTCCATGGCTAGAATTCCAAAGGAAGCTTGAAAGATTCTCTTCCCCTTGACCTCTTATCCATCAAATTGGAACAACAGAAAAATATTTGCAAACACTTTCTTCCATGCTCATGTGCCCGTTTTCTTTTTTCCAGCCCCCCCCCACCCTTAACCCTCTCCTATTCCTACACATTACAAGTCTTTATACTTAGCTGAGTGGCCACAATGAAGTATGAACTGGTATTTGTCATAACTCTGAATTGTTGTTGTTGTTGTTTGGTGCTGTCGAGTCGTAGACGACTCATGGCAACCCTGTGAACAAAAGGCCTGAGCACTGTTCGTACACAGAGTTTCCAGAGGCAAGCCATTTCGGAAGTGGATGCTGCTCCTGCTTCCAGGCTGTAACTCTGAATACATTTGGTTGCTTTTTTTCTATGTCCACTGAAATCTTGAGTATATAGTAAACACTAAATGAATGCCAAGGCCAAAGCTATCCCCTGTTCTTAAGGAGCTCACCATACACCGGAGAGGACAAGGCAGATGCCCAAGGACAAGGACCCTCTTTCCATGCTTACCTGCAGACAAATGACAGATAGTACAAAGAGAGGAAATAGATAGTGAGAGCTTAGTGGTGTGAAGCATTCAGGGAAGGCTTCTTGAAATAGGGGGCATTTATCTGAGCTGTTATAGAATAAGTTGACAATCCCAGAGGTACGTGGTTCTAATCCAATAGATACTCTGCTGGAGAAGGAGGGGGCAATCTCCTCCTATACCAGTCACATCCAGTTTGACAGTACACAAACACAGAGAGAGAGAGAGACAGAGACAGAGACAGAGACAGAGAGAGAGAGAGAGAAAGTTGAATTTGCCTGGTATTTTCCAGGCGTGTGTTAGGTGTGGATGTAAACTAATGGGTACATGACTCAATCCCATTAAATGACCTTGATGAAGGCAGAGAACCATGGTGGTGGAGGGGGAAAGGGTAAGAAGAGAGTTGAGGCTGGTCTGCTTCACAAGACTCTTCATTAGTTCTTTGATATGCAGTTACACTTGCCCACTAGAAATATAGGCCTGGTTAACCTGTCTGTCTGTTTTTACCCTTATCTGTGCCTGGAGCAAAAGAGCAAGGTTGTTGGGGTTGGGAATAGGGTTGTAGGAGATGAGAAGGGCCTATTCAATGACATATTGCCTGTGTCTTTTCTCCATAGTGGGATCCTGAAGACGTGAACCTTGAGAGGAGTAAAGATAACATAGAGATGCTCAGATCACAGGCCCGTGGGGACTCCATGAGGCACTGGACTTGACCTCTGATGATTACCACCCTTTGGAACCAGCCCATAAGCACAGAGCCCAAGGTCAAGCCTTTCTCAGTAACATATCAGGCAGCAAGCTGTGATGATACCCGTGGCCAGGATCTAAGTTTCTGGAGAGGCTGCCCAGGAAAAGTGAGGAATCAAGAGCTGCCTTGGAGCTTGGCTGGTCTACATCACCGCTCAAAGCTGAGTTAAGAGTTTTGGTCCTGCGGGCAGACCTGGATTTGCCAAATTTATTCTCAAGATCAGAAGTCACAGACTGTTCTTGCTTTGTAAAGATAAACCTTCATCTGATAGACATCGGATCTTCTTTTCCTTTTTGGCCTTTAGACTCAACTATGCCCTGGATGCCTGCTCGTGCCAGGAATGAGTTCACCTCACAAACTGTTGGATGAGCCCCATCCCATGAGACCTGGCTAAGCCCTAGAGACGAGAGGCATGAGCTCTTGAGCTGAGAGACCTGGGGTATGTACCCAGCAACTGATAGCTTAGGCTTCTGCCTCTGGTCACTGACTTGAGTTAATCTGCTGGATGTTCTAGTTAAGGACTCGCTGAGTCAACCAAGTATTTCTGATAGCACTGATGTCATAGTGCAAGCAAGGCAGCTTGCTGTCGGACTTCCTCCAACCTAACCAGGGGTGTGCTGGAGCATGGTTTACAGTTTGGGGGTGCACTGTCTGCTTTGGGAGGTACTTGAAAGCATGTAAGGGGAGAGAGGCATGGTGGGAGGTTAAATTCAAGCACAGGGATGATCCCATTTTTGGATCCTGTGATCATGGGCAAGGTGGAGAATGGGGCTAACGTGGGAGGGAACTCTGGAGTGAATAAATCTTCATTGAATGAACTGAAGTATCGCATTGTGGAGCACAGTAAGGCCTCAGAAGTCTGCCACCAGGAGAACTGGGAGAGATGCCAAGAAACATAGCTCGGCTCCGGCTGCCCCGCGGCAGCCTCTGTGATGCAGCTGTGGCTGCCATGTCTCCTCAGGGGAGTGCAAGTCCCAGCAGCAAGAAGGACGTCAGACTGCTTCCCTGAAGCAGGTCAGCTCTGCAGGTTTCTGCATGGATCCTACTTCCCTGGGTGACCTCTGCCCTAGAAGTACACTTAAAGTCACCTCGTGTATCCCCAGTATCCAAACTGCTTTGACTGCTGATTGCCCTGTAAGAGAAAGTTTCCTAAGTCAACTTTGTTGTGTGATCTTCATAACTAACGCTATACTTTGAGTGAAGAGGAAGATTCAGATGAACCCGAGGAAGCAGAAGGGCATTCCTGTAGATGAAATGGCATTAAGGAGTTTGGGAAGGGTGGAATCTAGCTAAGGAAGGCAGATTCTAACGATGGTACTGTAGGTGTCAGTGAAGAAGCAGAAAAGATCCAGATGGAGACAAAGGTGTTGGAACTTGATTCCATGACAAATGGAGCTGACCTTCCTTGGGAAGGCCCCAGCTGATGGATGAGTGTTTTGTCCTTATGGTTATACTTTTTCAGGAAGCAGAAGTACACAGTCAAGGTTTCAGAGTCATGGAGATAAGATATGATTAAAGAGTATGAGAGTTGACTTCAAAGCAGCAGAAGGGGTTCATCTTATCTTTCAAAAAGCAGAAAGTATGAGATGGGATGACGTGTCGGAGGGGAAACTTTGACATAACCTCTCTCCATCAAAGTGGGGATAGATCATGTTCCCTGGGACACTACATTGTTTGAATCCTGATAGAAATGGTGGGATAGTCCATAAGGAGTTGCACTAACCTAGCAAATCTACCAGCAGCTCTGAGGGAGGAAGCTGGATAGTCTCCTTCCATGCAAGTGACACGCTCTGAAAACTCACTGGACAGTCAGCCATGAGTTGTTTCTGATTTGACAGCAAAGAGTTTGAATTTTGAGCAGCACAACTACTTGGGTTCTAGACTTAAGTCCTAGGTCTGAGTCTTCTTAGATCCCTTCCCTTTACCAGCCAATTCCTATCATCCTGGTCCCAGCTCATCTGAAATCTAAATCTAAGACCTGAGTCCCTTCATCCAGAGTGAATCATCAAACTGGAAGTTTGGGGAACCAAGCTTGACCTTATTCAATGAAGATTTGCCCATGAACAAAGCTCAGGAATTCTGGGACCTTTGGGATGAGCTGCCAACCAAAATCTCCTCCTCTGAGCAGTACTGTCCTTGCCCCAAGCCTTGCTGCAGTCTTATCTCTAGTTGTTTAACTCTAAACTGAAGTTCCATGATTCAAGATAAGTGGTCTCCTCCTGTAAACATTAATAGCTCTTAAGAGTCAATGGAGTCATTATGAGTCAGAATTGACTCAGCCACAGCAAGGGGTTCTGCTTTGAAGACAACAGGAATAACTAGCCCTGGGTGGTCCACTGAACAGGGCAAAAGGGGTACTAGAGAGAGGCTGGAAGGACTCATCTGGAGATTGTTGTCAACTGTGACTCATAGCAATCCTATGAATAATGGATCTGAACCTCACCATAACTTGGGTCATCTTTACTGTCCCTAATACACTCAAGCCCATTGCCACAGTCACTGTGTCAGTCCATCTTCTTAAGGATCTTCTCTTTGACTGACCCTCTACCTTTTCCAGCATGATGTCTTTTTCCAAGGACTGGCCTTTATTAACAACATCCCCAAAGTATGAAGTTTCATCATCCTTGCTTCTAAGCTTCACTTTCTTCAAACATATTTTTTTCTTTTGGCAGTCCATCACATATTCAGTATTCCAACATAAAAACTCAAAGGCATTGATTCTTCTTCTGTCATACTTCTTTACTGTCCAACTTTCAGATGAATAAAAAGTAATTGAAAAGATCATGGCTTGAATCAGATACACCTTAGTCTTTAAACTAATATCATTGCTCTTTGGAACTTTGAAGAGGTCCCTGACAGCAAGTTTTCCCAATGCCACAAACACATCTTCTGGTCTCCTGACTGCTGGTACCAGGGACACTGATTGTGGATTCAAGCAAGATGAAATCACTGACAACTTCAATCTGTTCTCCATCTATAATGATGCTGCCTATCAGCCTTGTGGTGAGAGTTTTTGTCTTCTTGATGTTGAAATGTAATCCATAATGAAGGCTTGTAAAAAGAGCAAAGGCCATGTGGGGAGTACCATATATGACCTTTACCAACTTCATAGAGGGGAACTGTCCCCATGTACAGCATCATCAAAACCAATTCTCAGGAGATCAGACATGTCCCCCATGCTCCCATGCCTCTTTATACTCATTTCAACACCAATCTTACTGTTTTGCTGGGTCTAAAATCTGATGTGATCGTTCACAGACCACACAGAACCATATTGGCAAGAGAATTAAAAGGTTATATTCAAGATTAATAACAGAACACAATCAAGACAGCTCCAGAAACAAGCAGGCAGGCACCTCCGCTTTGAGCCTCATGGTTCTAGGTATTCCCAGGTTCTCAGTCCTGCAAATATTGGCTTCCCTCCTCAATAGTCCAACAGAGATCTCACTCCTGCGAAAATGGCTTTTCACCCACTTGTTCAAAAAAGTTCTCAGTCCTGCCAATATTGGCTTCCCCCACCCCCACCCTAAGTCCCATCTCATGTTAATTTTCCAGTTTGGCTATGGCTGCTGCTGCCATTCTAAAGCATATCCTACATTTCCCTGCCTCCTCTCCACCATGGGGGGGGGGGGAGGAGGTCTCTTTCCTCTTCTCTAGTGGGGGAGATTCCATTTCTGCAGCTAGAGCTGCTCAATTTATTGGCCATACTAGCCAATCCTCTCATCAGTTGTTGAGACTAGCCAATCCTTTCGTGGGATGGTAGATAGCCAATCCCTTTGTGGATAAGCCAACATGCCCCATTCACATAGTCAGTTATCTTCACTAGAAAAGTGATAGTGAAAGATAAGCTCCATAAGGTTGCAGTCCTTGATCTTCTGCAACAAGTGTTTCAAGGGTTCTTCCTTTCAGCAAGCAAGGTTGTGTCATGTGCATAAAATACATTGTTAATGAGTCTTTCTCAAGTCCCAATGTGACATTCCTCTTCGTAAAGTCCAGCTTCTCCAATTATTTGCTCAACATACAGACTGAATGAGTATGGTGAAAGGATACAACCCTAACACACAGCATCGCTGATTTTAAACCATGCAGTGTCCCCTTACTCTGTTCACACAAGAGCTTCTAGGTATAGACCTCAGAGCCTAGGAACCGCAGAAGGGGCCCGCTCCCCATCTGGTGTAATGAGCATTTGCCCCTCTTTAATACCCTAGATCCTAGATCATCTTAGTAGTGTAGTTAATAACCTCTTCAATCCCACTGTCAGCACTACTGAGAATCAAACCCCAGCTCCACAGATAAACCACAGAGCTCTGTTATCTTAGGGTCAAACTGGTGCCTAGGTGTTTCCAAGCAGTAGAAAGTGTGGAGTCTGGCACGTGAACACTCTGAGGCTGCACTTCTACTGAGTTGGCGTTGGTCACTCGGTGCCCACTGCATTGCCCACATGGATGGCCATGTAGGTGCCAGTGCTTCCAGGTCTGCGGAATGGAGTGAAAGTAGTATAAATTTAACACTACTTCTTTGAAAAGGAAAAAGCTTCGGCTCACATACTTTGGGCATATTACTAGGAGAAGCTATTCCTTGGTGAGGGTCATCATGCTTGGGAATGTGGACACTCAGTGAAGGAGAGGATGATTCTCAACCAGGTGGATTGACACAGTGACTGCAGCAATGGGCTTGAGTGTGTCAGAGTATGACAGGGTTCAGATCTGTTTACAGGGTCACTGTGAGTTGCACTTGACAGCACCTAATAACAACTTTTGAAGAGGAGATGGTTGTAAGTTTTTTTTATGGTTCCTAGTGCAATAACCTCTATGACGTATTCTAGGGTTTTACTGAGTCAGAATTGACCAGATGCAGTGGGTTAGCTAGCAGACCACTCTCTTCTTTGTTTTTAAATGTATTCAAGGTGTATTTTGAAATAAAAATTACAGGTATATGATTTAGACAAGATTTTCATATGATTTC